AAAGGCTTCTCTATATCCCCTTGGTTTCTTTTAATGTCCCCGTCCCATCTCCTTGGTATAATTTATGATCATAGTATTGAGATTTCTTTTTGAGTTTTTCTTCCTTCTTAAGCCAGATACTCAGTTGTTGTCATAAGCCTATGTTATTAGTCATCTATTTCTGTAGAACAGTTTTATCACAAATGTAAGTGGCTTACAACCACACGCATTTGTCTCACAAGGCTACAGTCTTGTAAACGCTGTGGTCTCATCCAACACTCCATCTCCTTCCGGGCCCACTCACTCAGATTACCAGCCGAATCCAGGTCCTGTGGTTGTAGGGCTGAGGGCTTCAGTTTCTTGGTAGCTGTCAGCCAGAGGCTGCCCTCAGCTCTTAGAGGCTGCCTGCATTTTCTTCTTGCAGGAAGACCCAACAAAGGACCCCCTCTGCTTCCTTAGGGCCAGCAAGAAAGGGAGAGAGTCCAGAAAATAGCCCTGATGATCTTATTTGGCTTAATCACATATGCTTCGTCACATGCACACCATCACCTTGGACACGCACTATTGGTCAGAAGCACATCCTAAGCCCCAGCGTGCTCAAGGAGCGAGGATGGCGCGCGAGCGTGACCTCCAGGAGGCAGGGACTGAGGCGGCCACCTTAATCAGGAGTCTCTGCCACAGCCTCTAAACGTTGTTTATGGACTTGAATAGTGTACTTTCTTGGGAAGTGTACTTTCTGAACTGTAAATGCTTTTTATCTTAATTCCACAACCTGTTACTGAAGTATTAAGAATGTAGATCACGTTTTTAAAATAACATTCCCCCAATTTAACTCTAGGTTCCCGTTCTCTCTTCTGTGCAATTAAAAATGCTATGGACTTAGATTTTGCATTTGTAACCTTATATACATTAGTACATTATAAATCATGTGTAGAGGTACCTGTTACCGTTGCATACAGAGCACTGTTTACCGTGCCTGATGGGTGATTTTAAGCAATTTATGGATAATCTTAATTTTACACAATTTTTCTCCATGCCCTCTGATTTAAGCCATAGCTGCCTGACACCCTGAAGGGAGGCCTTTATACAGATGCTTGGCTATGCAGTTCATGGTGAGGAGCTCTTGAGAAGTATATTTGTCTGCTATTAATTTTTTTAACTTTAATTCTTTTTGTTTTTCTTAGTACACGTGAGCTGCGTAGAGGGACGAAAGGAGCTGGAGAGAGAGGGGGCGAGAGAGAGAGAGAGACGGAATCTTAAGCAGGCCCCACACTCAGTACGGAAGCCTGATGCAGGCCTCAATCCCATGACCTTGGGATCATGACCTGAGCCAAAATTAGGAGTCAGATGGTCAGCTGACTGGCCACCCAGGCGCCTCTACTCCATTATTTTTAAATCCCTCTTCCTGTAGTCTGTTTCTTAAACTTCCAGTTGCCAGGCTATTTGTCTGTCTAGTTTTTGAATGGTTTATTCCTCCTGTCCTGTTCACCATTTATTTTTCTTTATACCTTCTTATCTCTGTTATGTCTTTCTTAGGGTACAGCTGTTTGGCTTGCGTGCACCTTTCCCATAGGTCGTGTGTTAGGGTGAGTTCATATCTGTAGATGATGCACTGAGATATTGGATCTGTATATTTTTTTTTTATATATATTTTTTTTTATTTATTTCTAGGAGAGAGAGAGAGACAGTGTGAGCAGGGGAGGGTCAGAGAGAGAGGGAGTCACAGACTGAAACAGGCTCCAGGCTCCGAGCTGGCAGTCAGCACAGAGCCCGACGTGGGGCTCGAACCCACGAACCGTGAGATCATGACCTAAGTGAAAGTCGGACGCTTAACCGACTAAGCCACCCAGGCGCCCCTGGATCTGTATATTTAAGATCTGAGTGACCATAACTTATTTGATAGCAAGTCGACAGTCACCCATCTATCAAAGTAGCTTTGTGGCCCTGTGCTCTTTTCTGCCCATCTTGGAAGCATTATACCGTCTTCAATTTTATCCCCTGCCTCCAAATTCCGAAGACCACATCTTTTGTAAACTTAGAGGTTTCTCTCACTTTTTATTGATTTCTTAGAAGGCCAACTAATACCATGTGTTATATCCTGGTACCAAAATTATACTCTTCTTTCAGATAAATGTTTTTAACCTACCTTTTATTTTTTTTTCTTAGAGTGCGTTTCTTTTTCACTTACAGCTAAACACTCCTGTACATTCCTGATGATCAGATTTAAATTAATTTTCTTCTTCACTTTGATAGTGGCTTTGTATTTTTTTTCTTTTGTTTCAATCTAAATAATGCCCTCTGGTTCACAACCAATTACTTTTCGTGAAAACTTTGATATTCCTTTTCCTAAAACCATACTGCTTCCTCTCAAAAAAAAAATATCTAAGCCTGTAACATCCTGCCTTTTCCATGGAAGTGAGCTACATCAGCATTTGGATACCCAAAGTATGAAGTTCCACTAATAGCCTCAAAACCATTCCACTAGACTTGTAGCACAGCAGTTGTTTAAAGTTCATAGTTTATTCATAAAAGTATTAAAAATATATGCATTTTTTGGTTAGATACGGTGTATGGCCAATGTCTTTTGAGAGTATAAGGAAGACCTTGTTTTTTCCGTTAGGTGTGGAATTGTGCTGTCCAGTATGGTGGCAGCCACTAGGAACGTGTGGCCACAGAGCACTTGAAATGTAGCCAGTCCAAATTGAGATGTGGTGTAAGTGTAGAATATATACCTGACTTCATAGACCTCGTGCAAAAAAAAAAAAAATCAAATACCTCAACAATTTTTATACTGATTACACGTTGCAATCATAATATTTTAATATATTGGGTTAAATATATTATAATTAATTTAACCCCTTTCATTTTATTTTTTAATATGGTAACTACAAATTTAAATTATATATGTGGCTCACATTGTATTTCTACAGTACAGCACTGGTCTGGAAAATCTTACACATTTACTTGTCTTTAGCAACTACTATCCCTGAATTTTTTGCTTCCGAAGGAAATTTGAGAGTAAAATTCCAGTCTCTCTGAGCAAAAAAATTTACTTAGTTTTCCTTGATGGTTCCACTAGGGACCTAAATATATAACATATCAAAGTTAGAAGTATATCAAAATCATTTCCAGAGGGAAACAGTGGGTTAGAGTCTTGCCTACCTTGGTATATGTTGAATTTTTTCCCCGTTTTCAAAACCTGGTTAAATTTGCACAGCGATGTCAAATCGCTTCCTCAATAATTTTTTATAGTTACAAAGCCAGTGTATAAAGAAGACAGTTGCATTGTTCTGCAGTTTTGCAGGGTCATATAGTGACTTGTTCTCATAGAAGCTAAGAATGACAGAATGAATCAACATATTCTACAGCTAGTTCGTTTACATCCTGGAAATTGACAGCAAGACAGGGTGACCATTTGTAATCCACCTAACTGAGCTGGAGACCAGGAGGTAGGGAACAGATAAAAACATTCTGCTTCCTGCACTTAATATCACCTGATGTTTGGGTTTGGGGTAACTCTGTGGAAGTAATTTACATTAATATTCTGTATGAAATGAAACATCAGAACCAAAGAACTTTATTTTGGAATTCCTAATGGTTTGTGCTGGTAATTTCTTTTGCTCCTCAAGATCTGTTTACAATAGCTTTATTGAGATATAATTCGCCTACCACATGACTCACCCTTTTAAAGTATACAGTTCAGTGGTTTTCGGTACATTCATGCGACCATCGCCACAATCCAACATTAGAACCTTTTCCTCACCCCAAAGAATAACCCCATGACCCCAGCCCTCAGCACCCACTCATCTACTCTTTGCCTCTTTGGATTTGCTTATTCTGGACATTTCATAAAAATGGAATCAAACACTTTATGGTCTTTTGTGACTGGCTCCTTTCGCTTAGCATAATCGTTTCGAGCTTCGTGATGTAGTTAGCAGAACCTCATTCCTTCTTGTGTGAGCAAATAATATTCCCTTGTACAGATACATTGTATTTTATTTGTCCATTCATCAGTTGGTGGGATTTGGATTATGCTTTTTTAACACATAAACACCTGGTGAAGGTACTATTTACATTCGGTACTAACCTTCTGCATTCTCCTTTTAGCCTCATAGTAGTTTAAGTAGGTGTTGTTAGAGTCGCCATCATATTTTAGGAGACGGAATGGAGGCTCACTAAGCCTAATTTGCTTCAGATCGCATGGCAGTTAAGAACTAGAACTTGGGGGGCGCCTGGGTGGCTTAGTCGGTTAAGCGTCCGCCTTTCGCTTAGGTCATGATCTCGCGGTTCGTGGGTTCGAGCCCCGCGTCGGGCTCTGTGCTGACTGCCAGCTCAGAGCCTGGAGCCTTTTTCGGTCTGTGACTCCCTCTCTCTCTGACCCTCTCCTGCTCATGCTGTCTTTCTCTCTCTCTCCTAGAAATAATTAAAACATTAAAAAAAAAAAAAAAAAAAAAAAAAAAAAAAAAAAAAAAAAAAAAGGAACTAGAACTTGGACCCACAGCCTGTTCTTCTGGCTCCAAACTATGTGATTTCTTCCTTGTTGCCACAGCCCCATCTCCCTCTGGTGCTCCTGCCTTAGTGGTTTTGTTGAATAATTACTTTGTAGTTAGTTTCTTTGCTAACTTTGTTATTGCTTGATTTAATACACTGTTACATACAGCACATGGACTTGAAAAACCCTTTTAATGTGGCCTCTCCTGATAACTCGATAAGGCGGGAATGTTTTCTGGGTGACACTATACCTCGTAGTTTAGCAACAATACATAGAACAACAGAGTGTACAGGCCCAAGGGTGTGCTCGAGGGCTCCGTTCTTTTCCCTAGCTCATGAAAAACGTCTGTAATGACCTATATAAAACCATGTTTGCATTATTAGAGCTAGTTTATGATATTTGTAAAAGCCCTGATGTGGAAACTTTTAAATTGTATCCGTCTTGTAGTGTTATACATAGAGAAATGCTTAATACAATCTTTTTTTGAGTGAAAATATAAATTCTCTCTTGGATTCCTTTTCTTTCACAGGGTTCGGTAGCTATAGCTGGTGCTGTTATTCGCTGGCTAAGAGATAATCTTGGAATTATAAAGAGCTCAGAGGAAATCGGTGAGTATGTTCTAACAAAGGGTTAGAATATAAATAATGAAAATTTTTACCTTTGCTTTCTGTCAGTACTTGTGCTTTGAGCCCTATGTGACATAAAATTAAATGGATTCCTACTATGAGGTTGATTTATACCTAAAAGGCTATTTGATGAAGATTTATAAAACAACAGATTGACATAAATAGTGGCGGTTATTCATAAACTGGCAAGGTAGGGCATAAAAATTACCCAAGTGTAAAACTCAACAGCAAAGATGGCCAGAGTCTGCAGGTAGAGTGGTCCAGTTACATTTATCTGATGAGAAGGTGCTTTACCTCTTACTTAGGTCACAGTGAGCGCTAAAGACTCCAGCACCCATCACTTAAGCAGTGATATGGCAGTTTTCCATCTACAGATAATTATTTGATCTCATTTCCCTGCTCTTTCATCTACTTGTTCACTTCAGCCTGAAGGGGAGACCATCAGAAACATTGTGGACTGGGGGCGCCTGGGTGGCTTAGTCTGTTGAGCTTCCACCTTTCGCTTAGGTCATGATCTCACGGTTCATGGGTTCGAGCCCCGCGTCGGGCTCTGTGCTGACTGCCAGCTCGGAGCCTGGAGCCTGTTTCAGTCTGTGACTCCCTCTCTCTCTGACCCTCCCCTGCTCACGCTGTCTCTCTCTCTCCTAGAAATAAATAAAAAAACATTTTAAAAAATGAAAAAAAAAAAAAAAAGAAACATTGTGGACTGGGGATGCCCTGGAGGCCACTTTTTCATCTCCTAGTCAACAACCTTAAAAGTAGTAGAAATGAGTTACAATTCCGTAATGAACGCAGTCCAGTCCCTTTACTTCCCGCCTGGTCGGTCGTGCTGTCGTGGAGGTATTCCGCGTGGGGCAATTGATTCTCCTTGCTTAGTGCTACGGTTAGGAACATGGGGCTCCAGGGGCGCCTGGGTGGCTCAGTCGGTTAAGCGTCCAACTTCGGCTCAGGTCATGATCTCATAGTTCATGGGTTCGAGCCCCGCGTCAGGCTCTGTGCTGACAGCCAGCTCAGAGCCTGGAGCTTCTTCAGATTCTGTGTCTCCCTCTCTCTCTCTCTGACCCTCCCCTGTTCACCCTCTCGCTTTCTCTCTCCCTCTCAGAAATAAGTAAAACATTAAACAAAAAAAAAAAAAAAAAAAAAAAAGGAACATGGGGCTCCACCAGTGAATAAGAAATCAAAAGCCCTAACCTATTTTTTTTTCTGCAGCTGTGTTTATTGAGTAAAATAATAGAATATAGTGGAGTGATTTTTGTTTCTCTCTCTTTTTTTAATGTTAGAAAAACTTGCTAAAGAAGTAGGCACTTCTTATGGCTGCTATTTCGTCCCTGCATTTTCCGGGCTGTACGCACCTTACTGGGAGCCCAGTGCCAGAGGGTAAGAACTGCATACGAGGTAATGCTTTTGTGGGTCTTGATTTATTTACTAAAGTCGCTAATGACTTCTTAGTTCCTAGTTTCCTATCTATTTTCAAATGATTTTAAAGTGTCGAGGAAACCTCGTCTTGTTTGGAGAGCATAACTTCAGAACCTTTAAATCTCAAGAAGTTACAAGTCATCTGACAATAAGGCCCTGCCTGTCATGTCCACGTTCGTGTCAGTGTTGTGATGGTTTATCTTCAAGGCATCTGTAAGTTATGCACAAGGGACATCGTCCAGATGAATTCTGATTTGGTGTTACGTTATTGTCATCTGTTCATTTGGATCCTGGACTTTTTCCTGTGTGCCTGCAGGATTCCGGACTGAATGGCTTTTCCAAGCTGCTTCTCGTTTATGTCCAGTTTTTTTTTTTTCATGTGCATTTTTCCCCCTGAACATCTGTATCTCCCAAGGTCAGCCTTTCCATATTCAGGACATTTCAGATTGATGACTCGTTTACTCCACTCTAATCGTACAGATCTTTTTTTTTAATCTTACAATTCTTTGTGTGTGTTTTTAGGATCATCTGTGGGCTCACTCAGTTCACCAATAAATGCCATATTGCTTTCGCTGCATTAGAAGCTGTTTGTTTCCAAACCCGGGAGGTAATAATATGGGCCTTTCTCTTGTGCTTGATGTGCTTTTATCACTTTTAAACAAATTGTATATTAATGCTGAACATTTATTAAATATATTATAAGTACCCAGGCGCGCCTGGGTGGCTCACTGGTTAAGCATATGACTCTTGATTTCTGCTCAGGGCATGATCTCATGTTTTGGTGAGTTTGAGCTGCACGTCGGGCTCTGCGCTGACCCTGAAGAGTCTGCTCAAGATTCTCTCTCTCTCTCTCTCTCTGCTCCTCCCCTGCTCACAGATGTTTTCCTCTTTTTCTTAGCTATCATTTCCTTTTTAAAAAATGTTATTATTATTTTTGAGAGAGAGAGAGTGTGTGCATGCAAGTCGGGGAGGGGCAGAGACAGAGGGAGACAGAGGATCCAAAGCAGGATCTCCACTGACAGCAGAGAGCCCGATACGGGACTTGAACAACTGAGCTACCCAGGCACCCTGTTGTCATGACCTTCTGAGTTCCTGTTATCCGCCGGGTGCCCAGTGTTTTATACTTGGGGGGATGCTAAGTGGTCCATGTTGGTCAAAGGAAATGAATAGCACAAACAGAGGCATCGATGCAGGAAACTAGGGTATAAAATTAGGGTGTTTGGCGTGCCCGGCTCTAGGGGTGAGGGCAGAGGTGTAGTGAGAGAAAAGATTGGTGTGTCTGGATCAAGGAAGGTTTGGAAGACCAGAATAAGAAATCTAAATTTTCTTTTTACTTACATATAGTATATACAGTGCGCTCTTGGTTTTGAGGGTAGATTCCCATGATTCATCACCTACATACAGCACCCCGTGCTCATCTCAACAAGTCCCCCCCTCAGTGCCCATGAGCCATTTTCCCCTCTCCCCCGCCCCCTACCATCCACCCTCAGCTTGTTTTCTGTATTTAAGAGTCTCTTATGGTTTGCCTCCCTCCCTCTCTGTTTGAAACTATTTTTTCCCCTTCTGTTCCCCCATGGTCTTCTGTTCAGTGTCTCAATTTCCACATATGAGTGAAAACGCATGATATCTGTCCTTCTCTGACGGGAAATCTAAATTTTATTCTGTAGACTTTGGGAAGCTCTTGAGCAGAAGACTGCCATTTGCAGAGATGTCACTATGAAGTAGGAGTGTAATTATGTTCTCTGCATTGGTTTCTTCAAGATTTTGGATGCCATGAACCGTGACTGTGGAATTCCGCTCAGTCATTTGCAGGTCGACGGAGGAATGACCAACAACAAAATTCTTATGCAGCTACAAGCAGACATTCTGTATATCCCAGTAGGTCAGTAAGCTTTCGTTCCTTTAAATTCCAAAAGTAATATTTCTTTTGGAAGAAGTGGGTTTTTGGCATATGTAGCTGCAGAGATGTTGCTGAAAGCTGTTGGTGTTGCCCTCCTCCCCCAGTGAAGCCCTCGATGCCAGAAACGACCGCCCTGGGAGCCGCCATGGCAGCAGGGGCTGCAGAAGGGGTCGGTGTTTGGAGTCTCGAGCCTGAGGATTTGTCAGCGGTTACGATGGAGCGGTTTGAACCCCAGATCAATGCTGAGGGTATGTTTACAAAATGAAAATTTAGGGGCACTTGGCTGGCTCAGGCAGTAGAGCGTGCCACTCTTGCTCTTGCGGTCGTGAATTTGAGCTCCCACGTTGGCTGTAGAGATTACTTAAAAATAATTTTTTTTAAAGAATGAAAATTTAATGGTATACTGTGGAGAGGACCTCAGTGAGAGTTTGCCTTTCTGTTTAGTTGTGAGTTAAGACATTAAGTAAAATAGCAAATGCTTCTGTTTTTAGATTGCCAACAAGCATATTGGGGTACACTGAGTATGAGAGGAAAGGTTCCTTATATTTTTAAAATGTTTATTTATTTACTTTGAGATAGAGAGGGGGGCAGGGAGGGGGAGAATCCTAAGCAGGCTCCATGCTTAATGTGGGACCTGTCCCGGGGCTCAATCTCCCAAACCATGAGATCATGACCTGAGCCAAAATCAAGAGTCAGACGCTCAACTGACTGAGCCACCCTAGCACCTCAGAAGTTTCTTATATTTAAAAAAAACCTTCCAAACCCCCCCTTTTTTTTTTTTACCATTCACTTCTACTTAGAATCTTTTCATGCAGAAGGATAACAGTAGCCGCACTATCGCTTTTAACTTGATAACCCCCTTTTTTGAAAGTAAGGGAGATCGATCAGCCACTGCACTGGTCATCTTTGGTGCCAGTGGCCTAGTTTTAGGACCTGATTAGCTGGGCTAAGGGACATTCTGGTAACTGTTAAGCACAGCGGGTAGCCATTTTGCTGACAAAAGCAGCAAAAATGTAAAGACGTGAGCCTTAAATACCTAAATACCTGATTCACTCTCCTAACAAACTAAGCTCTGACCGACACCTTTATAAACATATAGTGGTGCATCTCTTAACTTGAAATAAGTGTGAGCATAAAAATAAGGTTTTCTATACATTGTGATAGGGTGCTCTCCCTAAGGAAAGAAAAAAAAATTCTCAAGGCACCCTGGTTATACATGTACGTGACAGAGTCCCCCAAGACCTGGTAACGTGAGCCCACTTCATCAGACGGCATGTTTGTGTGCTTCCGTATATGGGAGACAAATAAGTAAAAAACTATGCCACATGGCATTTGGGCTCAGTTCTTCAGGTGCAAACCCAACCGAGCAGTGCTGGCATGAATAAAGGTGCTTCCTAGAAAGAAAAGCCTCAGTGTCACGACTCTGTGCGATAATCCTGCTACAATATTGAATTTGGGTTTATAAGTTTTTTAAAAACTTACGTGTAAACTAGCATCCAAGTGGCTTTTACACTACTGGGAAATAAGCTTCCAAATGCATTTGTGTTTAATTTTCTGGAAGACTAAGCCAGCGCTTCTTAATTTTATTCCTTCCCACAGACAAGAAAAATGGATTGTAACACTAATAATTTCATAGTAACACTAATAATTTTACAGTCAGAGAGTATAGCATGTAACTTGATGTAGAAATGTGTTTCAAGATCTGATATTCTGTCTTTAAGTAATTTTTAACTTTTAAACTTGCATGAAGTGTGGAGTTCAAAAAATACTTCTAAAAAAAAATCAGTTTTTTAATAAACCATCTTCAGAGTGAGTGTATGGTCTCTAGATGCTAATCCCGCTCTTGAGCAAGGAAGTTTTGTACAAAGAGTTTTCAAAACTCTTTACTGAGGAGAGCCTTTTTCACTGTTTTTTAAGGCCTTAGCCCAGAGTCAGTCAGTTACGCCAGCTGTTCTTCCCTTCGCCAGCCCTACTCCTCTCCCCCCAACGCACAACGGGTGTGCGCGCGTGCGCACACACGTGCATGATGGCCATCTCCATATAAACAGTTCATTCTCCAGAAAACTTTTTTTTTTAGAGTTGAATACAGGCCAGAAATTGTCCCGACGTGGGGATACAGAGCTGAACAAGACCAAGTCTTCGCCCTTCAGGGGACTCCTGTATCTTGGGAGAGGGAGACAAAGCCATGACAGTTGACTGTGGTAGCTGACAGCCTGAGGTGTGAAGGACTGTGGGAAGACAGGAGGGGCATAGCAGGGTCCTGGAAAGCTTTCTGAAACAAGTGATACTTGAGCAGTGTCACAGGTGCTGTGGGAAGGCTGAGCGGCCTGACAGGGACATCTTCATGCCTGGTCCCTGTTGTTAGAAGTGTGGTATGGGTGGACACACCGGCAGCCATTTTTGTTTAGACCTCTGGATTTCCTTCTTAAAGAAATCCTGTCTCACAGAAATGCAATTTGAATCTTGTGAGAAATCAATACTTGTTCAGTCCTTCAGCAAAACCAAAAATAATTCTCCTTCTAGTCTTTCCATATTACAGTCTACCCTGTATTTCAGATCTCCCCACCGCACCCCCCCAAAAAAGAGAAACGACATCAAATAGTATTTTCCTTTCCAATTCATCACTACTTATTTGTGAGTGGCCTGGTCCTCACAGGTAGGCTGTGTCCCAGTCTCCCTTTACCTGTACACCATGCTCAATTGCCCCTTCACCTTCCAAGCAGGTGTGTCTCTGAGTCCCTGGCCGTTGCCAGCACCCGTACTCTCCCCAGTCTGAGTTCTGGTAAAGCCCCATGCAAGGGGCTTACTTTAATACGTGTAACAAGTTTGTTCAAAATGCTGAGTGAACATAAGTATGGTGTGTAGAATATCTCAGTAAACTAGTTTTCAAACGTATGTTTTTCCCACCTTCTATTTCTAGAAAGTGAAATTCGTTACTCTACCTGGAAGAAAGCTGTGATGAAGTCAGTGGGTTGGGTTACAACTCAGTCTTCAGAAAGTGGTAAAAATGTTTTTATTATTCTTGCCGCTTTGCCTTAGTATGTTAAATAGCTTATTTAAGTGTGTAACCATTTACACTTAGTAAGGCTGCTATGAAGAAAAGCAGTGTCTTCTGTCCAGAGCTTCTAACATTTTGAGAACAGTTTAAAAATGTAGGTTATCAGGTTGATATATACGTACCTAATTCTTTCCCGCCCTTTTTTCCTTATTAAGTGTATTCCTGGTACTTCAGTGGATAACTTAGTTTTCTAAAAGAAAAATTATTTCTTCTCAATGAAAAAGAAAATCAGCTAGATTCTTCTTTTTATTTTATTTTTTTCACTTAGTGTCTTCTTTTACCTTTTTGGGGGGCTGTCTTCATGACCTGAACCAACCAAAACTTGTATCAATTTCTCAGTCTATTTCACTACTTCCTAGGCTGATTCCAAGTTCTTAGTGAATGTACATTGGCTCAGAGAGGAAGAAACATACCAAACAGTAAATTAGAAGTGTCCTAATAGATTGGGAAATGCTCTTGGCAGAAAATAGAGGACCAGTTTTTTCAATCACTTAAGTAGGCAGGTGTTGGGCTTAAGTAAACCACTTACTTGTAAACAGCATTAAGCTGACGTTACTATGTACTTGATAATTAAAGAGACTCAAACACGCCTTTAATATGCCATAGTATTTAATCTCTCTGCTAAATGCCAGATTGAGAACATAATGAATAGAATGATGTCCAATAATATACTGAAGCATATACTTGGTTAGAGAGAGAAGAGTTTATAAATGAACTATTACCTGCCTTCTCTCCCCAAAAGTGAGTGTAGAACCACTTCCAATGTATCTGGCTTTTCGGAGGTGCTTGCTGGAACCGTCTCTCACCACAGGTCACTGCGATCTGTACTTCCCGTCCTGGGCACTCCCACCTGAAGCTTTTGGTTTTTGTCCTAAATAAGCTTCATATCCTTTTTCAGTCTTTTGTTCTTAGCCACACTTTCCTTTCCAAGATGGTGGGAAATCTTTCCTTACTATGCCTTTTGCAATTTTGACACCTTTTAAAATTAACCCCCTCAGTCACAAGTGCTTTTCTAGCACAGTGCTAACTGCTGTGCAAGATACAACAGACATGCGCCCTGATTTATTTTATTTCCTACTTGTCCTTAGTCAGTGGCTAAGGAAAAGTTGAGTCCTATGATTTCTTTGAGTCTTTGGATTTTATTTTATTTTTTAATGTTTATTTATTTTTGAGAGAGAGCGAGAGAGAGAGAGGGAGACACAGAATGTGAAGCAGGCTCCAGGTTCTGAGCTGTCAGCACAGAGCCCAATGTGGGGCCCAAACTCACACACCGTGAGATCATGACTCATAAACCCATAAAACCCATGAACCCATAAACCATGAAATCATAACCTGAGCCGAAGCCAGACATTTAATGGACTGAGCCACCTAGGTGTCCCTGGTTGTTTGTTTTGGTTTTTTTTTTTTTTAAATAGCACAATCATCCCTCTGTCCCTCCCCACACAACAGGGAGACATACACATACACACACACTTCTCCTTAGTAGTAGCTGAAGATGAAATTTTAACTGCAAAATTCCCACAAAACCAGTTGATCATTTTCACTTTGCATACCTTAGTGTCAGTAAATTTAAAATGAAAGAAAAGGCTGATGAAAGAAAATTACATGGTTTCTTTAGTTCTGCTATCAGCATTGATGATAAAAGTAATTTGATTTTTTTGGAGAGTTTTAGATTTTTCACTTTTTTTTTGTTCCAGTTAGACCACAGTGATTTTAAGCCAGAGTTTGGAAAGGTTTTATAGTAGATTTATGAAGAACACTCTAATGTATGTAATATGTTGAGTCTTTAAGCTGTATATTAAATCAGAATAATGATATTCAATCAATGACATGCTAATTGTATTTCTTTAAGCAATATAAGCTATGTAAGTATATATCAATAAGCTGTACAATAGTAACAGTACTGATAGAAACCTGTTTTAGGGGCGCCTGGGTGGCTTAGTTGGTTAAGCGTCCGACTTTCGCTTGGGTCATGATCTCGCGGTTCGTGGGTTCGAGCCCCGCGTCGGGCTCTGTGCTGACTGCCAGCTCAGAGCCTGGAGCCCATTTCAGAGTCTGTGTCTCCCTCTCTCTCTGACCCTCCCCTGCTCACGCTGTCTCTCTCTCTCTCCTAGAAATAAATAAAAAATATTTAAAAAAAAAAAAAAGAAACCTGTTTTAATATCTTGAAAGGATACTAGAATTGCTACCTGGTCTCTTATTCTCTTTAAGTTGCTTTCATTTATGAAAAAAATAGTATGTTCTCTTAATTTCTAATGCAGTTTGCCACTTTTGAAGAAGTATTAGTTTCTTATTTCTAGCCATATTTGAATATATTCTAAACAATTTTTAACATACATTTGTATGTGTTTAAAATGTAGAAGTGATTGGAAATGTGATACTTCTTGGAGAGAGCTTATCATAAGTGATAAGCTTGGCTTTGCACTCCAAATTTGCACTCCAGACAGACCGAAACAACATTTTAGAAACAGGTCACATTGGTTTAAATGTGTTTAAATGTGCACAGCTATCAAATAACCAGTGTGTGTTTGGAGATATATATCAATCACCAAAAAGGATATATTTTCATTAAATCAGTGCCACCTAAATTGGTAAGGACTTGTGAGCGCAGGGCCTTCTTCGCAAGCTAGAACTCACTGTAGCCATAACGGGAAATCAGTTCTCAGAACTTAGTGTATGCAAGTAACAAAACCAAAAAAGAAAAGAAAAAAAAAAAAAAAACACCTAGCATAACTGATGGCTTGCTCTAAAAGAATTAGAATATATGATCCCTTTCCTAAAATCAGATTAAAATGTGGTCTCCACAAATGTGGAAGCAAAAAGAAACTTTGTTTTTATCTGAAAAATAACATAAGCAATGGTAAAAGGAAGAAAAATGGTTTATATCCCTACCTTCTAAGGACAAAGAAATACAAGATGAAGGGAAAGAACCCTTTCCCAAAAAGGCAAAGAAATGCCGATCCAGTGGTTGTATATTCTTAACACTTGGAGGTTAATTTTGAATATGCTTTTTTTTTATAAAGAGCATTAAATATTATAGATACATAATTTTTAAATTCAAGAAAATTTTATGTGTATAAAGAATATTCTTTAACGGAAGGGATTTTGACAGAATTCAGGTTAAGAAATATCAAAACAACCATATTCTCAGGCAATTTTTTAATTTTTATTTTAAGTTTATTTATTTATTTTGAGAGAAAGCACACGTGAGTATAGCGGAGGGGCAGAGGGAGAGACAGTCCCGAGCAGGCTCTGTGCTGTGCAAAGCCAGACATGGGGTTGGATCCCATGAACCGGGAGATCATGACCTGAGCCAAAATCAAGAGTCAGACACTTAAACTAGTCAGCCACCCAGGCATCCACAGACAGTTTTATTAATTTATTTTTTTTTAATTTTTTAAGTTTATTTATTTTGAGAGAGAGAGAGACAGCATGAGTAGGGGAGGGACAGAGAGGGAGGGAGGGGAAGAGCTAGAATCTCAAGCAGGCTCCACACCATCAGCGCACAGCCCGATGTGGGGCTCCAACTCGTGAGACCGCGAGATCATGGATTGAGCGGAAACCAAGAGCCAGATGCTTAACCAGCTGAGACTCCCAGGTGCCCCAGCAGTGTTTTTAAATGTAGAATCACAGGGCACCTGGCTGGCTCAGTCGGTAGAGCTTGTGACTCTTGATCTTGGGGTCATGAGTTTGAGCCCCATGTTGGGGGGAGAGTTTACTATAGAAAGATAGATCAATAGATAGATTGATTGGTTCATACAATTTAGTGTATAATTACAGTACTATTATTAGCTACATTTCCTTACACAGCAAATTCTATTTATTAAAACAAAAACCCACCAAATCTTATTCCTGAAATATTTACTACACTCTATGTTATCTAACTTGGATTAAAATAAAATAAAATAAAATAAAATAAAATAAAATAAAATAAAATAAAATAGAAAACAAAACGAATATTTTAGCAAAAATAGGGTTTGAGGTTCATTTTCACCAGAGCAATATCACTCTTCTCAAGTAGCTACGGGATCTCTAATTTGACTCGTGGGGGAATTGGATTGCGCAATTGGTATCTCCAGGGGAAGACGCAAGAAATCTAAATTCAACAGCCTCCCAAAAAGCTCTCCTTCGCCTCTCTTTGGCTTTGCCAGTGGAAGGCTTATGTGGGTCTATATGGATTATGTTCTTGGCTCCTTGTGGCATGCTATCTGTTTGTTAACTGTCATAAGCCTTCTATATTGATTATGTTTTTGATTTAAAGTAATAACTATTTGCTAGCTTTTACGAATATACTATTTTTATAACTTGTTTTGTTTTGCTGCCATGTGATTCTTAACACAAATATTGTAATTATGTGTCTCTCTTTTGGTTTGCTTGACTGGAATCCCCTTCTACTTGGATGACCACAGGTGACCCTAGTATCTTCTGTAGTCTACCCTTGGGCTTTTTTATAGTGAGTAGCATGGTAATGTTAATCGGAGCAAGGTACATCTCAGGTCAGTTGCTCTTTAAATTAGACAATTTTATTAGTTAGCGCTAATGTATTTGTGTATAACTCAGCAGCACATGTTCAGTGTTTTTCATTCTCCCTATGCTTAGGAACCTGGAAAATCCATGAAAGGTCTAATTAGTTAGACCACTTAATCTTTGGGGCAGTCAGAAGTGAGGACTGTGACCCTGCCTAATTCTCTTACTTTTAGTAAATGACCATTTCTTTGGGGGGCTACCTTCTGTGGCAGCTGCAGCACTAAGCTGGCGTGAAAGTAGTCTTGAGAATGCTTACAGGGGCAAACTTTCCAGACTGACAGATGACCCCTAAAGTATACTTCTGACATTCATTGCATTGGCTTTCAAACGTCCAGAAGTTTGTCACGCCTCAGAAAGTTTGCCCTGCAAGTCTTAATATTTCAGTTCTGGTAAGAGTTTCAGCCAGAATACGTCTGAGCAGAGCCTCTGGAAAACTCTAGAACTGGGGAAACCCAATAGTCACTTTTATTTTAGTTGAAAGACTGTATTTTGTGAACTGCAGTTTTAAAAATTATTGCTAAAATAAATCGGAGTTGAAATTAAAACCGAATTATTTTTTGCACGTTAACTTCAGAATATTCTTATAAACGTAAAATTTTTCAGCACGTTGTAAAATCCATTGCATAACCTGTGTTAATTTGAATGTAATAATCATTTTTGGAAGCTGTTCCTGATGGTAGCTTGATTTTTCTTCAAGTTAAGGGCTTAAATGGCAATGACTTTTTCCATATGTTACCAAGAAAGTAAAATGTTTCTTACAGTTTCATAATGAAAGAAATTATAAAGAGTTAAATTATTTCTCTTAATTAATTAGATGGTAGCCTGGGTTTAACATATAAAATATAAAGTTAATTGACCTGGAGGCAACACCTGATTGTAGAAACCAGGGAAGCCCGAACTCCACTGGCATCATCAGGTTAGAGCCGCATATAAATACAAAATGAAAACTATTGACACCAGCAGACCATTAGGTTATCTTTTAATGATACAGTATGGATTCCTTGTATGAGAACTTCAAACTAGATTACCTTTTTTCCATATTTTTCCTACTCAGAATAAATGTGTTCAAATCTTCTGCTTCCATAAAAACAATACCTCATATTGGTATTAGCGCTTTACACCTTACAAAGGGCTTCTCTATACGTAAGCCTGTATGCAATTAGCAGGTGTCCATCTTCTTTCTGCTTCTTGAGAATGTTTGGTGGAGAAGTCTAAATATTCCCTAGAACTATAATTTAGATTCATAAAGAAATTTAGAGGATACTTTAGGAAAGGCTCTATTGTTTTTTCATTATCCTCAGTGTTTCTGGCTGCCTAATGATGGTTTGGGAAAGGGAAAAAAATATTGCAAGTGAATGTTTTCACTGATTATTTTTCCCTCCTGTTTCCCTCTTGGTACCATGGCAGGTCAAAAGGGCCTGCTCTCTATGAAAACTGAGGCCTATAGCCTATCTCGAAGCTAAGGGGTATGTTACTTGTCCAAAATCTCAGACTTCCAAATAGATAAGGTCACCACCACCTTTCAGTTCTTTCTTGGTAACATATGCTGAGATTTGAGAAATGTGGGAATTGTTTGCGTGGGTAAACAGTTAGCGGTAGTGTTAATATTTGCTAATTTTGGAATTGGCCTAGTTTTATTTGTTGCATTTTAACTCTGAAGCAGTATTTAGAAATCATGTGGAATTGCTAGCTCCATAAATGATTGAATAGTCTTCATTGCCTTAATTCTTGAATTACATGTATGTTGTTATTGATATATATGGTTTTTGTCCCCCATTTTAGGTATCCCATAAATAATCCCAACTCGTGGATTCCAAAGATGCGAGCTCTTTGCCTAATGAGAGAATCCAACAACTGTCTCTTAATGTGATGACACTATTCATAGACTCTGATTTTATTTATAAGCCACTTGCTGCATGACCCTCCAAGTAGACCTGTGGCTTGAAATAAAGAAAATGCAGCAGAAAGAATGCTTTAGAAACATTTGGTGTGTTTTTTAACCTCAAGAGTTAAGATTGGACCAGCCACCTTGAGGGCTGACCCCTCCTTTGCCATCGCATCCTGCCCCATTCCCTCTGAGATCTAGGACGAATTCAGATCCTTCATTGGAATCTTCCATCAAACATATTCAAACGCTGATGGTCTGGGATTTGATTCTCCGTACCACACACACTTGCTTAAGAGGTGATTACTAACCCGCTACAAATGAGTGGCTTTTTGCTTGTTTCTTTTTGACAGACCCTAAAAGTCCTCCTTTCTGCACAGTAAGGAGACCACAGCACCTTCACTGAATGCTTCAATGGAAACCTCTGCTAAATTCTTAAAACGGAAATTTAGTAGTCTCATAGCTTAGATATCTTGCGGAAAGGTATTTGCCAAAAACTGAAACTGCAGACATTTTACATGGTCTTGCGAATTCACTGAATTGCTGTCTGGATCTTACAGGGAAGGACCCTTTCTTTCTTTTTTCATCTCTCCTTTTTATATTTCTTACTTTGTATGTATAACATACATGCCTATTTTATATACTGAGAGTAGCCCATTTATAAATCAAGAGTACATTTTACGTGATCTCACTAAATACACTGAATCTCTATCTCGATCTTATAGGGAAGAACACTTTTTTTTCTTTCCATGTCCTTTTTATATTTCTTACTTTGTATGTATAACATACATGTCTTTATATTTTATATACAGAGGGTAGCCCGTTTATAAATTAAGAGCACATTGTATCCAGTAGGTTATAATGGGGCAGGTCTTAAGTGGACCACTATGTGTATAAATATTTTGGGGGAAACACTGTGTACATTTTTGGGCAACGGTTATGCATATTTCCCAGGAGAAACTTTTTCTTAAAGAGCCAGCATTTAAAGTTTAAGTATATGTTCTATGTCAATAAAAGAAAATGTACTTTATTATGACTTCACCTATAGTTCTTATACCATAATTTTTATTTCATTGTTTTAGCTGGATATATGTTTTTTAAAAAGGAAAAAAGAAAAAAAAGCTGTGAAATGCTACAGTAAACCTTGTTTTCCAACACAAGCTCTAGTCCATATAAGTTATTTTCCTTTGACATAATTTTAGATACATTTGGGACTCTTTGGAGGGGATATCAAAAAAGGTTAAACGTTGAAGTAGAAAAAAAACTTTGGGAATCAAGCCAAGGATATTTTTCTATCCAAATGTGTTATTCATTGCTGGTAAGCAACCAGTTTCTATTTGAGATCCCAGGGAAATACCTCCACTCACTGTCCTATTACAACTGAAGCAGGGTTTGCAGTTAGAAACGGCTACCAATGAAACCATGAATTTCTCAAAATATTTAGTATTACATGTGATAAAAACCAACATAATCTAGCCTCTTAGTGTCAGGCTTTTAAATCTTAAAAGTAATTGCTGTTTACCACAAATAAGAAAATACTGCCTCCTGATTATTTTCTTCAACCAGTGCTGAAAATGGGGAAGTATTTATATCTTAGTATAGAATGTGTTGTTTGGAACGAAGGCTAGCTCACATTTGCAGTTCTGACGGCGCTGTTGCTAAATTAGCACATCTACTTGGGTTCCATTGATGCAGCCGCCACATTAGTGACAAAGTATTCTAGAAAGGTGCTGTGAAATCATTACTGGGTGGTGAGGGTACTTTTACACATAATTCTGTTTCTACAAAACTAGGTTGAGTTAATTGTAAATAATTGTTAAATCACTGTTGAAATAATGTTAAGATGACGTTAATTTTCTATAAATGCCAATATTTATAAGTGTTTGAAGTTGTGCACCTTGATATTTAATGATAAATTGACTTAAAATAAATTGACCCCTCATTCTTACTTGCATCTCTTATTTGTAGACTAGAACTTAGATCGAAGTTAAATCGAGAAAGGTGTTTCAGGAAAACCTAACACTCAGCTGTTAGCACTTGATCAGGCCCACTCTGAAGAATTAATCAAGAGCCTACGACGTAGTTTCTGGAACGAAGGGCACCTTAGTCATTCTGTTGGAAAAGACTACCCTGTTCCACATCAGCATCCAGAAAATACCCGGTAAGGTCAGCAGTCATCAGTAGGGTCTCAGGTGGCCAGGCACGCCTTTCTACCGGTTTCATTCATTCTGTGCTTCCGGTTCTCTCTACCTGGGTTGGCCAGTAGAGTCAAGTATGCCATTGTTCTGTCAAGCTGACAGCCAGTACTTCAGTCTTTTGTTCTCTAGCTAATCAGTAAGACAAGTCATACACCTGTGCTTCTATAACGATATCTTAGAATTCTTCATGTTTCTTTTGCAGTGCCCAAACTCAGTTCTTTGGTTTCTGAGTGTGTTGTATCATGTGGAATGAGGAATGATAGCTATTTATGAGGAACCAGCAAACAAAAGATGTCATAGCACAGAAACCTACAGCGCTGACAGTGGAGTAGGTAGTATTTAAATCATAGTGTCTACCTAATAGTAAATAGAAGTACAAAAATTATTTTTTGCAGCTTTAATGAGGTGTAATTGACATACAGAAAACGGCATATATCTAATGTATACAGTTTGAGGAGTTTGAACGTGTGCAAACACCCCTTAGACCATCACCACAATCATGGTAATAAACATATCCGTCCCCTCCAAAAGTTTTCCTTGTCTCCCTTTGCTTTATTGTGTGTGTGTGGTAGGAATGCTTAATGTGACATCTACCCTCTTAACAATGTATTAAGTGCACGATGTTGCCTTTTTAACTATACATACTACGTTATACAGCAGATCCCTTGAACTTACTCTTTTTGTAAAAACAATGTTTAAGTTTATTTATTTATTTTGAGAGAGAACTCAGCAGGAGAGGGAGAGAGAGGGAATCCCAAGCAGGCTCCACACGGTCAGCGTGGAGCTCTATGCGGGGCTTGACACGAACCATGAGATCATGACCTGCGCCAAAACCAAGAATCGGATGCTTAACCAGCTGAGCCACCCCGGCACCCCTGAACTTACTGTTCTTGTGTAACTGTAACTTTATACCTACTGAACAGCAGCTCCCCTCTCCTCATCCCCTGGTGACCACCAGTCTGCTCTGGTGCTGTGAGATTGAGGTTTTTATTCCCTTTTTAGAGTCCACACATAAGTGAGATCATGTGGTATTTATCTTTCTGTGTCCGGCTTATTTCACTTAGCATAATGGCTTCTAGGTCCAGTGATGTTGCAAATGGTAGGCTTTCCTTATCTTTGAGGCTAAATGATACTTCATTGTATGTATGTACCACGTTTTCTCTATCTATTCATCTGTCACTGGACTTGTGGGTTGTTTCCATGTCTTGGTGGTTGTGACTTCTGCTGCAGTGAACATGGGGGTGTAGATATTCCTTCGAGAACCTGATTTCCATTCTTGTGTATAAATACCCCGAAATGGGATTGCTGGATCATATGGTAATTCTATTTTTAATTTTTTTTAGGATTCTCCCTACTGTTTTTTATAGTGGATGCACCATTTTACATTGCTACCAATAGTGTACAAGGATTCCAAAAATTATTTTTAACTAAATTTTTAATAGCTTATTTAAATAATGATGCCTACTTGATCCATTGTTTTTGCAGCCTAACAACTTTCGTAAGGTCACATGACAGAAAACTGAGTGACTTTTGGGGCACCTGGCTGGGTCCGTCAGGGGACCATGTGACTCTTGATCTCGGGGTTTTCAGTTCAAGCCCCATGCTAGGTACAGAGATTACTTCAAAAATAAAATCTTAAAAAAAAAAAAACCAAGTTGTTCAAATAGGCCTAGTTTTCATCCTAGTTCAGATAACTAGTTCTACCTCACAGCATTAATAGCTGCGAATATGAAGATACTTTTATTCTTTTTCTCTGTCATTTTTTCTAAGTAACCTCTTTGCGCAACATGGGGTTCAAACTCACAACCCCAACATCAAGAGTCGCACACTCTACGGACTGAGCCAGCCAAGCCCCCTAAAAATACTTGGTTTTAAAAAGTAGCCGCAGGGGCGCCTGGGTAGCCCAGTCGGTTAAGCATCTGACTTCGGCTCAGGTCGTGATCTCACAGTTTGTGATTTCGAGCCCCACATTGGGCTCTGTGCTGACCGCTCAGGGCCTGGAACCTTTTTCCGATCCTGTGTCTCCCCCTCTCTCAGGCCCTCCCATGCTCATGCTCTGTCTCTGTCTCTCAATAATAAATAAAAATGTTTAAAAAAATTTTAAAGTAGCCACAGGCCTTTTTCCTTTCCTATTTTGTGTTACAATTAAGTAGCTTTTTAAATTCCTCAGTATCAAACCTGATATTTTTCTCATAGGTTGCTTATTGTCTAACTAGTTTACAGGTAGATTTCATAAGTATCCAGTCATTTCATTCATCACCAAAACATGCATCAAAGGGAGACAGATTAAATAAACTCCTACAACCACACAACAGAGCATTGCAGCTTTAGAAAAGAAAAGCTGTAGGGGCGCCTGGGTGGCTTAGTCGGTTAAGCGTCCGACTTTCGCTTGGGTCATGATCTCACGGTTCGTGGGTTCAAGCCCCGCGTCGGGCTCTGTGCTGACTGCCAGCTCAGAGCCTGGAGCCTGTTTCAGAGTCTGTGACTCCCTCTCTCTCTGACCCTCCCCTGCTCACGCTGTCTCTCTCTCTCTCCTAGAAATAAAAAAAAAAAAAAAAAAAAAAAGCTGTAGAAACACGGTGACCTATCCAGGAAGACTGAAAAGGCAAGGAGCAGAGGTGTGCTTGGTGTGCTCTTTTTCTGTTTTAAAAAAAGGAAAAACTAGGAGGTTGGCCTCTGCTGCGAGGACACCTAAGAAGCGGTTGATACTGTTTACTTCCTGGGACAGAAAGCAGTGATAACTGGTTAGGTGAGAGACAAGGGTGAGAAAAAAACTTTTCACTGTGTCTGTGTGTGTGTGTGTGTGTGTGTGTGTGTGTGAACAATTAACATAGTTCAAATAGATAAAGTTCGTATGTGTAATGAACCAAGTTCATATATTAACTGTATAAACCTGAAGTTTTAACTTAAATTCAGAGGTCATTGTATATGAATGTTTATGGCAGTACTATTCATAGTAGCCAAGAACAGGAAATGATTCAAATGTCTATCTGCTGATGAATGGGCAAACAAGGAGGTATATCCATACAGTGGAATATTAGTCAGCTATAAACATGAATCAAGCATGGATGCATTCATGTTGTAACTAACATGGATGAACCTTGAGAACTATGCAAAGGGAAGGAAACTATATTTAAAAGCCACATATTGGGGCACCTGGGTGGCTCCGTCGGTTGAGTGTCTGACTTTGGCTCAGGTCATGGTCTCACAGTTTGTGATTTTGAGCCCCACATCGGGCTCACTGCTGTCAGCTCAGACCCTGCTTTAGATCCTCTGTCCCTCCCCAGCTTGTGTGCGTTCTCTCTCTCTCTCTCTCTCTCAAAAATAAACATTAAAAAAGTCACATATTGTATGATTCCATTTATATGAAATGTCCAGAGTAGACCAATCCGTAGAGAAAAAGTGGGTTAATAGTTGCCAGAGTCTGGAAGGAGGGAAAATGTGAATTAACTGCTAATGGGAACGGGGTTTTTTGGGGGTTGATGAAAATATTCTGGAATTAGATCGTGGTGATGGTTGCACAATTTTGTCAATGTACTAAAAATCACTGAATGTATACTTTAAAGGGGTGTGTTTATGGCATGCATTCTATCTCAGTAAAACAGATAACTTTAAAAATTCATATGTCATAAGTTAATGACCCCCAGGCCAAACTCATCCCGCAGACTTGTTTAAAACAATTATTTTTCATTTGCATTTATGTAAAATCAGCATAGGACCAGTCCTTGATAGCTCGTGAGTTTGTAATCTCTGAAATAAGCCCTTGGAAGGAAGGCTCCTTGAAAATATAGAGGTTAATACATTTAATTCCTTTTTGTTCCACTTTCATTAACTTTCTCAAGC